CTTATTTTATATTCTAGCTTGTCAATATCAGTAATTTGAGTTTCTAATTTGTTCAAAACCATAGACTTGAAGCAGTGCTGCATTCAACATACCACATGACACACAAAAATCAATGTATAACTGTTCTTTTAAGTTCCTTTTAAGTTAAGAAATTGAGTAAGGTATAATACTAAAATTTGAATTATAATGTACAGTTTGATACCAAAGTTATTGACATATATTCTGAAATAGTAGTTCAATAAAATTTTGAATGCGAGTCAACAAATGTGATGACCTGGCCTGTCACCCGTGACCCATCTGGAAATGGTTAACTAACATTTTACTAGTGCAAATGTTATCCAAACATACCATAAATGCTAAAAATTGTTAATGCAGTAAAAATCAACCACACCTTTAAACAAGTATTTATTATAAATTGTAAAACAGTTTATAAAGTAATTTATTGATTCCAAAGACATCACCTTTAAAACCTTCTCTTGCAGAATTTGCCAGAGCTTGAGCAAGCTGCTGGTCCTCTTGTTCCTGAAGAGCACTACCAGGCATCGGAATCTGTGGAAGCTGAAGTCTTGCACATTCTGGAAGCTCACTCTCACTAAGGAAGCGAGTCTCAGTCCCAGTGGTGCCAATCACTAACTTGTTTCTTTTCAGATCTATACAGCACTACAATATGTAGCCAAGTTTTGCTAAATTAGTGAACAGGCTCAACATAGCACTGCAGTACATAAAGTTAAAATTTTACTTACCCGAAAATGTCTTCCCGATAAATATTCACCTTTTCATGCAGTAAACTATCTTCCCTGCAACTCTGCCCTAGAGAGTTGAATGCTACTAGCCTTTCATGAACTTCCACCTATTCTCATGAATTGTGCTACAGCATGATGACATCATTATGCAGAAAAAAACTCCACTAACAGGAGGGCAACAAATCCTTGCGTATTAACTCCCTCTATGCATTTACACTTGTAAATCTTCATTCTTTCACAATGCAAGTAAGAAAATGTGAAACAGAAGTGGGAAGGATAGGTGGATATATGTGTGTGAAGAGTTATCTATTGGAAATACATTCTCAGATAAGAAAAATGTTAACTTCTCAGGCAATACCACACACTTACACACAGTAAGCCAGAATCTTGCACTGAAGTAGTAGAGAGACCAATGCAAATAATATCTAGATGAAGTCCCTTCAATAGTTCCCTGAAGGAAACCCACGGAGTGCGACATCCACTGGCAAGAGCTCCGTAGGAGCACACATGTGGGAGACCACATTTCATCTCTTCCAGGGTATACTCTTTGCCAAGGAAGAAAGGAGAAAGAAGCAAAAGAGCCCCATGTGTTACAGGGATGGATGCAATAAACAGCCAACACATGTAGCTTGTTTGGGGCACATTCAGACTGTACCTTGTGTTCACCTTGACTCTACTGTCAGACTTTATTGTACCAACACCAGCTGCAGGAGAAGAACATAGTAGTCATGCCAGAGGGAGTGGTATGATGTGTGCACATCTCGACTCAACTGAACAGACATCAGCTGCATGAGGAAGTCACTGAATAGTGATACATTCTCACCTCAACTAAAAAGTTGCAGCCTGCAGGAGGTATAATATCATATTATGTGCTTGCCTCAACTCTAATGAACATACTCTGACTGCAGGAGGAGGGTACAGCATTATAGTGTGTGTACTTACCTCAACTCAAATGAACAGACTCAGAGCACAGGAGGACACAAGCGGCATGAGGTATAGCTATATGAGGGGTGACCTGCCTTACACTGACAGTGTCACCACTGCACCACTTGTTCTAGCTCCAGTAGTTAGGTTCCAATCAGTGAGGATTCTCCATGGTACACCACCACATTGGCTAGGTGTTTGTAAGTGGCAAGGGTCTCCTGTGCTCCACTCAATGAGGAAAAAGGGAGGGAATTTGTGGAGGGGAGACCTGGAGAAAATACCCAGATCCCTGTTGGTCCTTCAGTCCAGAAAGGTATTTTACTAGAGCCAGTGCAACATATGACCACATTACCATATTTTGGAAAGCCAGCAAGTGCGAGCCAGGGAAGCTGGTAGAACACCTCCAACAGCTGGCTTTTTTTTCTGTGATAGTCCATGGAATATGGATGACACAACAGTCAGATACACTGATAAATCATGAGAATACCTCAAGTAGTATTGTGGAACACCTCATCTCACAGTGGGCATATATGGAGGCAGGGCAGATGGTATTAATACTTTCCTTTATCCTGGCTCTATAGCATAAATATCCAAATGATGGTAAGTACGGGTGAGAAGTATGAAGAAATAGGTCTAGAGAGGTAGGTGGTATAAGATGCAAGTGTCAATGGCTTGAAAGGTCTATGGATAAGAGAAAACAAAATGACACTGAGGTTCCAGTCAGGCATGAGAGCAAGGCAAGGGGTCTATGGAGAAGGAAGGAATGGAACATGGTTGAAAGAACTAAGAAGGAAAACACCCTGCAATATCAAGAAAGGTGAAATGTTTTGGACAAGGCCACAGGATAACCAGCAATGGCAGAGACAGCTAATCCAAGGTCAAACAGCCAAGCAGAGAAAGAGGAGAGATGAGTGGCAGAAGAATGGGCAGGAGGTAGGTGATGACAGATGGACCAATGGAAAAAGACACACTACTTACTTTGGTAGATAAACAAAGTGGAAAGGCAACAGGAATGAAAAAGGTAAAAAGCTACAAAACTGGAGAGCCTGTTTCTATGGGTGAGAGACCAGGCAAATTCCAAACGTGAATGTAGATGGATGAGATCCTTTAATGGAGCAGTGACATGTGATGTTGAAGCAAGAGAAAGGGTATAGTTGGCAGGGGAAGAGAAAGTCAGATTGTCAGGTGGCATACAAGAGGAAACCAAGGTCAGTAGGCTGGCCAGAAAGGTGCCACCAAAAAAACATGACAAGGAGTTCTGCGAATCCAGACCAAGACCAAAGGTAAAAGAAGATAAGGTGGGTAATATGGTTCGTCCTTCATGATTGAAGAGGACCATTTTCATCATCATCTAATGATTTTGTGTGCTTGGAAGTGACTGATTAGCCTGATCCTGACTTGAAAATGTCTGGTGCAATGCGGGCAAGACAGCGGGGTCTTGGTGGGATCTAGTGGTTGCTTTCTATTGCTTTATGTGTTGCATGCTTGTTCTGAGCTGTCAGGATGCATTGCTGTTTATATGTAGCTGCTCCTTTTGTGACAGCAATCCTCCAGACTGGCAGTTTGGACAAGAATTTCCCAAGTATTAGGATGGATGTAGCAGTCTTTTAGCACAACTATGAGTGTGTCCTTGAGTATGCCAAAAAACTCAATCGTTTCCATCTCTGCCGTCCATGCAAACTTATGAACATCAAATGGCAAAACAAGGTCCCAAACAGGTCTGACATGCCTAGTTTTCACATCCTGTTGAGGAAGACACAATTCTGTTGTCAGAATGATAGACAATTGCCTCCCCAAATGCATCTCCTTCTGTGAAATACAAACCCTAGCACACTCCCATAGTGGTCAGAAGAAGCACAAATTGGTAGACAGTCCACGTTTCAGATGCATAAAGGAGGGTAAAGAGCACAACCACCCTGTTGACTTTAAGCTTGGTTTTGAGTGTCATCCCTTTGAGATCCCAAACTGATGAATGCAGACTACCAAAAGCAGTGCTTGCCTTGGCTATTCTAGAGTTGGTTTCATTGTCAATGTGAACACTGCGAGACAGGGTGCTACCTTGGTAGGTGAATTTGTTCATGGCTGTTAGTTTCTGGTTGTTGACTGTGGTGTTAGGTTCTTGGTTTAGTTTTCCTGGAGCAGACTGGTACATAACTTCAGTTTCTTAGTGCTGATGGTAAAGCCAAAGTTGTCACAGGAGGTGGAAAATAGGTCCATATTTTGCTGCATGTCTGCTTCACTTCTGGTGTTCAGGGCACAGTTATCAGCAAACAAGAAATGATGCAGTCTATCAGTATTGACATTAGTCTTAGCCTTAAGGTGTTGCAGATTGAAGAGCTTGCTATCCAATCGATATCTAATGCCAATGTCTCGGTTGCCATCCTAGAAAGCATTAGTGAGCATGGCTAAGAACATGATGCTGAAAAATGTCAGTGCCAGTACATGGCTCTGTTTAACTCTGTTTGCGACTAGAAAGGGATCAAAGGATTGGCCATCATCATGTACTCAGGCTTGCATGCCATCACGAAACTGTCGTACTATTAGTATAAACCTGTCTGGGCACCCAAATTTGCTCATGATCTTCCAGAACCCTTCCTGGCTGATCTTCCTGTTAAAAGCCTTGGTAAGGTCAATGAAGGTAGTGTACAGATCGATGTTTTGTTCTTGGCATTTCTCTTGAAGTAGGCGGGCAGCAATACCATGTCAATTGTGCCCCTGTCTTTTCTGAAGCTGCAATGGTTCTCTGGAAGCAGACCTTGCTCAAGATGTTGAATGAGCCTATTGAGGAGGACCTTGCCGGCAATTGAGAGGAGAGAAATTCCCCAGTGGTTGTTGCAGGATTGGTAGTTGGCTTTCCTTTTGTAGAGGTGGATGATGTTGGCATCCTTAAAATCTTGTGGTAGGACCCCCTGTTCTCACATGGATTGCAGTAGTTCTGTGAGCTTGTCAAGCAGCTTGGGTCCATCATGCTTGTAGATCTCTGCTGAATAGCATCAGCTCCAGGAGCTTTGCTATTTAACAACTGGTTGATAGCTTTTTGTCATTTCCAATAGTGAAGGGTGTGTGTGTGTGTGTGTGTGTGTGTGTGTCAAGTTCTGGGTTATTTTGAACTTCAGGCAGTCTGTTGATGGCATCATCATGGATGTGTGATGGTCTGTTTAGAATGTTGTTGAAGTGCTCCACCCATTTCACTTTCAAGAATAAGGGCTTTCTCTGTTAGTAGAGTTGTCCCGTCAACACTGAGCAGTGGCGAGGAGCTGGCTGGATAGGGGCCAAAGACCATTTTTATGGACTCATAAAAGCACTTCATGTCATTCATGTCAACATAGGTCTAGATTTCCTGTGCTTTGTCGTTGAGCCACTTGTCTTGCATCTCTCTCAACTTGTATTGGACTGTGCTGCAGCTGTTGTTATAAGCAGCTTTCTTGTTGATGGATTTGTCATTTAGGTAGATTCTATGTAGTTTATGTTTCTCTTAAAGCAGTCTCATGATCTCCTCCTTGTTCTCATCAAACCAATCTTGATGTTTGCATTTGGTTGGACCAAGAGTCTCGAGAGTTGTAGAGTACACAGTGTCGTGAAAGGAGGCCCAGTTTTCTTTATTGTTGTCTAAGGGTATGTCAAGAGTGCGGAGGTGAGTTTCCAACTCGTCTTTAAAGTGTTGTTTGATGTTTGGCAATTTGAGTCTTGCAGTGTTCAAGTTCATAGCAGTTTTCTTTTCTTGGAAGCATCTATGAAGTTTGATTTTCAAGTTTGGTCACCTGAACAGAACTGCAGGAGTACGAGACCATCTCTGTTACATTTCCTGACTCCATTTTTGCCAATGATTCCTTCTCAAGTTTTGTGGTCAGTGCCAACTCGAGCAATGAAGCCATCGAGTATGATTAGTTTGTCTGATTTGGATGCTGAAATTGTCAGACTATGGAGATCTTCATAGAATTTCTTTTTAACATCGTCAGGGTTGGTCCTTGTTGGGGCATAGCAGCTGATGACTGTTGCTTGCTTTTTGACT